TCTTTATAGTTAACTTGTTGACTTCTAATTAAAATGGTAATATATGATAATCTTTACATTCAATGACTGTGAAATTTAGATTTGACTAAATAAATTATGCTCAATGTATAAGGAATGAAATATTTAATATTGTCTTAATTATTGAAAATATCAATGTTGCAATGTTGATTGATTGTAAAGGCTAAAAAGAAATAGCAAAGGTTTCAGGGTATTTATAGAAAATTATGAACTTATGATTACTTGTTTTTTATTCCCTTGAGAATTTAATATGAAAAAAGGTTTTTGCATAATATGTAAATAAGAGGATTAATAATATTTTATTTTGAAATAAATGGTGTTATTATTTATGTATATTGGTTTGTACAAAATTGATAGTGTCTTTCAAAGATTTCTCACACCTATGAAGCAAAATTTATTTATGATATGTTATGTACATGAGTTTCAAATAAGTTATTAAGTTTTAAGCATTTTTATTATATTGGGTGTCATATTAAACTTGTAACTCAAAGTTTACAATGATTGACAAACATGTTTTAGTAAACTAGAAGTTTACTGTTATTTTGGTTTAGTATACTAGAAGTATATTGATATTATTTGTCATGACTAGTTAGATTATCCAAGATCAATATTGATGCAAGAGTTTTTGAGAATTCACAACGACATCTATGGAAGAACTGGAAAATTCTTCCTAAATAGCTAAGACATTACATCCTTCAAGAATTCTGATGTGCTACTTAAGAAAAATTATGATATTATAACTACCAATAATTGGAATTCGATCCTAGATATTTATGGAATATGTTGAGTTTGAAATGGATCCATTTAGATATTATGTAGACCATGCAAATATTTAATGAGATTGATAGATACACATGTAAGATGGTTACACATATGTATCAATTTACAATCAGAAGTTTGTGAAAGAGAAAGAATTATTATGTACATAATTTCTAATATAGTGATCAAGATGAATCACTTGAAAATGTTAGTGGTTTCATATCTCAAGTTCTCAATAATTATGAGATGAAGAAAAGCCTACTCATTAGAATGGTCTACCAAAATTATTTATGCCTTCAATAAGATGATTAGACAAAAAATTTGTGATAGTAAGATTTTCCATTTAAATATGCAAGTTTGTAATTGTAGCACTTAAATGCATCAAGCCAATAAAGTATTGTAAACACCCCCCACTATGGCACAACTCATGGATTCAATTTGCATTACAAGCATTCAACTTGTCAACATGCAATAAGATTGGGAATTAAACATTGGTTAAAATTCTTCTTCTTCTTTTTGTTTGTTTCTAAATGAAACAAAATGATGTTTCTACAGGAAAAACTGGATCTAGAAGGCTTATACTACATGGTTTGTAATCCTAAAAAGAGGTGGAGATGATGAAAAGCTAGAAATGAAAATACATGAATGCATTATTTATATCTTATATATATACTCATATATGAATCAAAAGTTAATATAACGTTACATTCATAAAATAAAATAACTGCCAGATACGTAAATATTGATGGAAAGAAAAAATTTTGAATTTATGCTCTAGCTAAATAATGCTCCATATGTAAAAATTAAAATGAAACATGCTTGAAGTGTGGAAGGCTAATTGATTCCAAAGAAAAAAGATCTTACAGAAAGAAAAAGGAGAAGACAAGTAAGATGATTATATTAAGGATGCTAGAATTCTAGAAGAGGCCAAGACATAACAAACTTTAAGTCCCTAGTAGAGGATCAGGTACCTAATAACAATAAAAGGATATTTAAAAGTTATGTCAATGTGAGAAATGATGGAACAAAAGAGAAAAGAATTAAGACGTTGATAACACTTTCAATAAGAATGAAATATTAATATAAAATGAGGATCTTGATAGAATATAGATAGAAAGCTAATCAGAATAGAAAAAAAGGATACAATACAAGTAGAATTACATTCACTTATTCATGATATGAAAGTTGTGAACTTATAGTACAGGCACCTGAAGTGCGATATTATACATAAGTATTTATGAGAAAGACATATATGAAATGTCATGTGCAAAGCGTAACTTTCAATGGAAAAATATCTTACAAAGATTCAAAATATGCATTAATATATTGTGTGGTGGCTAATTAAATGATTTTTGATATGCTATTAGTATGACAATATAGAAATCTAATATGTGTCTAATAAATGACAGTTTATTTATATGGTTGTTTGTGCAATGGCATTTACTTGAAAATTCCAAAAAGATTCAAGATGAGAAAAAGCTTATAAAGATTCTTTAGAAATTTTCTTATTCATTATGTTTGTTCATATGATTATATACATATTGATTTGCATCATAATTGATTGGTTGAGATTATTGAATATATTGAAGAGTTTATAAGAACACTTGATTGCTAGAAAAATATGTTAAAATATTAAGTGATTAGATGGGAATCAAGATCAGTTTTCTTCAAAAGGATAATGAAATATGGTCCTGAAGCACCATATATGAATGCTTTCATATCACAATTTATGATATTACATTAATTTGCAATGAAATTATGTATTTGATATGATATGTTTGAGAAATTATTATGTGTTATTGCTTAATTTATTTATGATCAAAATTAATTAATTACACATATGTGTTATATAAGTCTAGTTTGGACCATACGAGTTGACCATTGAGAGGTTATTTATTTGTGAAAATATATGTGTATTAAGAGTGTTTTTCTACTCCCACAAGATATATCACAAGTGAAAAAATGTGTTTATATCTAGAAGAGAGAGAGAGATATATATATATATGTATGTATATAGAAGATGTTTCAAAATATTATATGAAAGTAATATTTCATATATAGTCTAGCCATAAAAGCAAATCAACTCGCAAATGCAAAGGCATCGGCAACACTAATATTCAAGAAATTGTCATACAAGTTAGGATACAATGATTCAAAAAAACTCAAGAACAAAGAGTAATATCATTATTAGGAGGAGTAAAAGTTATGTTATACTCTCTTTTTTCTTAACTAAGGTTTTGTCCCATCGGGTTTTCCTATGAGATTTTTAATGAGGCAATTTCAATAAATATGATGATATCGTGTACATTTTTTCCTTCACTTAGCTTTTGTCCCATTTGGTTTTTCTTAGTAAGGTTTTAATGAGGTACAATATTTAAACATCCAATGGGGAGTGTTATGAATATTAGGATATTATGTGGATGTTCATTTTCTTACATTTTTCAATATCTTTCGGTTACTATAATATTTTTCAGTTATTATTATCTTGTATATTTTATTTATTTTAATTAATATATTTATGCCTATAAATTGAAGACATCTCAGTTGTATTCCACCTATCAAAATAAAAAAGCTCTATATTCTTTTATTCTCTCAATATAGTTTTCTTTCTACTCTCTTCTCAATCTTGATTTTTATAACAATTTTTTTATTTTTTTATTTCAATTTTTATTTAAAAATATTTTTAATTTTTATCTATTTTATTAATAATGAAAAAGAATTCAAGTATTTAAACTAAGTTCATTCAAGTTGGGGCTCAAACCAAATTTCTTCGGATTTAATCAAACGACCCAAATAAGCCTATATGAAAGAAAATGTTTTAAACTTTCTAACTCAATTCAAAAATTTTTGACATTAACTGGTCTAGTTTGGCCCACGGTATTTTTGGAGTTTTCTGGGTAAATTTTAAATTCCCCAGGAAAGAGAAACTCAGGGTCAACGCGCTTGTCCATTCCCATCTCGTTCACTTCCAAGTCTTCCCGGCTTCGTCCCCATCATCATCTTGATTGGTTATTATTTATTGCAAATTCAAAATATTTAATAAGGTTTTATCCGAACCACATAAAAGATATTGAACAATATTAATTAACCGCTTTCGTTGTCTTACTATAAAGATCCGATATACGATTGTTTTCAGTAATTTCTTATTCCACAGTAAATATTTGCGTATTAAACATATGAAAAAAAAGACCAGCATTGAAAAAAATTGTCCAATAAGATTTACTTCCTCCGACTTTAAATATAGAGTAACTTATGAAAGTTTTGCTTTATCTAAAATAATATGGGATAATATGTAATGTTTATATTTTCTCCCCTTGTCTACCCTTTTTTCATTTATTGTCGATTTAAATTTAGAATTTTCTTGCATTTGGCAGTTAATTTAAATCATTTATATGTTAGATTATTGAAGGATACAGAACAACAAAAATTGACACTTTTTTTTAAGGATATAAATTGCCACTCTTTCAGAAATATGAATTAATTAACATCATCTTTCATCTAGAAGGGGAGGAAGTATTTAAATATGTTTTTAGAGATTGATTCTATAAGTAAGGATTTAACTCATAATACACAAAGTGATGGATTCAGATTCAGATTTAAAAAATTTATTAATACAAATCTTTAAATCTTTTTATAAGTACTTTTTGATATGTAGCTAAACCCAACTCAAATAATTTTGGAAGAATAACAATTGAATTTTAAAGGAATGAATTAATAACATTTAAGCTTTGAAGTTTTTTTAAAAAATAACTTAAAAATTTTGATCTAGATAATTATAAATTCAGACATTATAATTCATTTCATAAAAACTTTTATCAAGAACTTAACTGCTATTAATTTATTCATTTGAAACCTAAGTATCATATTCATTATAAAGGTTAAAGTAGATATTTAATCATTTAACTTTATATAATGTTTTATTTTAATTCTTTAATTTTATAAAGTATCTTTTTAGTACTTTAAGCTTAACATTATTAATTTTAGCCTAATAAATTTTTACATTAAAATTTCAAATATCAATAAAATATTCTCAAATACTGACATATTAAGTTTTTAATTTTTTTAAAAATAATAAAAATTAACATTAAAAAATAATTATTTAAAACTAACAATATTAGAGTTAAAGGACTAAAAAGATACTTTATAAAATTAAAGTATTAGATTAAAATTTCACATAAAATTAGAATATTAAAAATATACTTTAGCCCATTATAAAAGAAAAAATTTCCCATGAATTGAAAAGTATCAGCAGAATTTAACTAAATCCTACTCCGACTTCAGCATCCGAAAACTAATAGATAAATTCTAAAGAAAAAAACAAACGAAAAAGAATAGAAAAGAAAAACTAACAGATAAAATCCTAAAACGACAGTAAAATACTAAAATGTAAATTCTGGGCCTTAAGCCCTAGCGACCTCCAACTAAGACCGAGTCATCATCTTCTTGAACTCCTCGAAATTCACGTTGCCGTCGCCGTCGTCGTCCACGGCTCTTATCATCCCCCGGCAGTCACTCAGGGAACACTCCAACCCTAACTTCCTCATCACCGAGTGCAACTCGATCGCCGAGATCAGTCCGTTCTTGTCCAGGTCATACAGATCAAAAGCGTCCCGGAGCTCCTTGGTGGCGTCGTCGCCGTCTTTAGCTCTGGCAGAAAAGAACTCGGCGAACTCCCTGAGGTCAATGAAGCCGTCGCCGTTCTTGTCAAATTCGCTCATAAAGCAGTCGACCTCGTCCGACGTCGTTTTGGTGCCCAACGTCTGAAGCATCTCCTTAATCTCGCCGGAGGAGATTTTGCCGTCGCCATTCTTGTCGAACTTGTTGAAAATCTGGCGCACCTCGTCGTCCATGATAACAGGAAAAGAATCGCTGAATTTCAAAAACTTTCCTCTTTGAACGAATCGAAATCAACAATTCAATATATATAATGATACATCTGGCCAAAAAAGAAAATCATACCAAATATTAAATTAAATTAATATATTTCAAGTAATCAATTCAAAATTTTCCAATTAAAACAATAAACATTGAAATAGAATCAAATTCTAAAGATAGTGTCAATGTAATTTGAATTGATAAATTTTAAAATTAATAGCTTTGATATTTTTTTTATTTTTTTTTGCCAACTAACAGCTTTGACATGTTTAAATTTTGTGGGGAAAAAAGATAATTTATTAATAATTAATAAAATTTATTAATTTAATTTTTAGCTAAAATATACATTTAATACTTTAACTTTAAAAAATATTTTATTTTAATCCTTTAATTTTATAAAATATCTTTTTAATCCTTTAATCTTAATAATGTTAGTTTTATCCCAATAAATTTTTATATTGAACTTTTAAATCTTAACTATATTTTTAAATGTTGATATATTAAAATTAATTTTTTTAAAATAACAATAATTAACATAAAAAATAATCATTTGAATCTAATGAGATTAAAAAGATAATTTATAAAATTAAATGATTAAATTAAAATTTTATATAAAGTTATATTAAAACTATACTTTAGTATTAATTTTTTTGTGAATAATTTATTAATTTAATTTACTGCTGAAGATTGACTGAGATTTGTTTTTACCTGATTGATTGACTGAGATTTTGTTTTTGACCTGGTTGATTGACTGAGATTTAATAGCTTTGATACTGAGTATCTCAAAATTTACTAGTCATTGAAGCAATAAATTAAAATTAAAATTTTTCAAAATCATGAAATGAATCTTTCACAATAAAACTTGGATAGTAATTTCGCCAAAAACAGTCCTGAGATTTTAGAATCGATCAAAAATTAAATGATCCAATGTAATATATTACATTAATTGTGATAAATAAATTGATTTTTCAAATTAAAAATGAATTAGGATTAATGACATGGAGGATGAGAAAGTAGGGGAGGACAAGGTAGAGTCAAAATGAAAAAGATTAAGGTCTTGTTTGTTTTCTATTTTTAAAAATTATTTTTTTTTAAAATTAAAAAATTTAATAACTTGTTTGGATAAATATTTTGCATATAATTATTTCTAAAGTTATTTTTATTTTTTTTTTTTTAAAAAAGAAACAACTTCAGGTTGTTTTCCTTTTATTTTTTTTCCTTTGTTTTCAAAATATACTACATTTAATTATTAAAAATTAAAGTCAGTTTGAATAATTTTTATCATGAATCATCATTGTTAACTGCCTACAATTATTACTATTAGCTTATTTTCTAATTCTGACATTTTTTAAATTAATATAATCAAACATATTTTCATTTTGTTTTGTTTTAAAAAATAATTTTGAAAACTGTATTACAAAACATTTTTTAAAGAAAAAAATGAGAATAAAAACTAAACAAGCCCTAAGAGTATAATTCTATATTAGTGTTATTCATTCCAAACCATTTCATCATTCACATTTCAAATACGCGGAGACAAAACATAAGTTTAGGTTCGACTGATAAAAGATTGAGGTTGGAAGGCCATCTCAAGTCATCTCTATAGTTTACAAATTCTTCATGACCATTTTATTCTATCTCATCATATTCGTTGAATAAAACTAATTATGAATTGATTTTAAATATAAGTAATTTTGTTATATGATATAATTGATTTATAAAATTAATTAGTAAGATTGATTTTAATTATAATTAAAAATAAAAATGAAAATTAAGTAAAGTCATGGTTTTGTGAAAATATATCCACGAACTCATATTATATACTAAAATCAATTATGAACTCATAAGCACATCCTCTCCTTATCTCTCTTTCTCTTTTTCCTCTCATCATCTCCACCCTTAAATAAAGAATGAATGGTTCAGATTTAATTATTTTATAAAAAATTATTATAATATTACATTAAAATAAATAAATAAATTTAAATTGTTCAAACTTGCACAGTTTATAACTAAAATAAATAAATATATAAAAATTAATGTATAAAATTTTTTAATAACAATATATAGTTGCTAATTGTTCAAGTCAAATTTTGATAGTTTAAATTTATTTATTTATATATGATATTATGATTAACTGCTTTAAAATCAAATGGCAAATTGACCTCTATAATATTCTTCTTGGACCCCAAATTTATTTTTGATGCAATATTCTTCTTCAACTTTTAAAAACAATGTAATGTGACCCTTACTTTTAACAAAAATTAACTTTAACTATTAATTGACTATAAAATGAGAAAAAAGTGTAACAACCCTAGAATTTTAAGTTAAAAAAATAATAATGATGATAAATTAAACATATAATAATTTGTATTGAGTATATTTTATTAATGTTTGGAATAACTATAATAAGGAGGAGTGTTGGTGTAGTGAAAGTGTACAAATAATGTAATAACCCAGAAGTTTAAATTAAAAATTAAAAATTATGATTGAGTATTTGATTATATTTTAATAATTCTTGGAGCAAATATATCAAGAGGGAATGTTGGTTTTGTGAAATTTGTGGTAAAAAATAAAATAAAATAAAAAATAATAATCTATAAGTTCCTTGATTTAAGCGGGGAAAAAATTTCTTACACATGAAAAGTTCATGAGTTTTGTCTTATTTTAGTTTTTAGGAAATTACTATTTTTATCAATTTAGGAAATTAAAACAAATAACATATATATATATATATATATATGTATATAAACATACACACGTGCAGAGGATGGCAGATTTTTCTTTCCTTCCTCTTCTCATTTTCTAGCATTGGCGAAGACACAAGGGATTCGAGAGAGCCCATCCACCACCTTTCTTCTTCCTCATTTCTACTCACCTGTCATCGGCCACCGGGGGAGTCACCGTCCATTCACTGTTGTGGATGTTCATGGAGCTTGCGATCTTCCTTCTTCTTTTTCATGGCCGTCGACTTCCTCCCTTGTGCAGCTTATCCATTAACCACTCTTTCTTCCATCTGGCGTCGGTGTCTGTAGGTGTGTGCTAGAGGCTTCATCTTCCTCCTCCATCCAAGCAGCTACGGGCGTGAGCTGTAGTATCCTTCCCCTGTATTGTGTTGCTGTGATTCACTGCTGTAGGAGTTTCGCCGGACACCCAGCTCCTTCCTCCCCTATTCACGCATCGATTTCCCATTTCTCTGCGTCTCTCGTCTCTTTTCTTCTCAGTCTTCGCTGTCACCTCTGTCACTCATCTAATCGCCGCCCACCATGGAGTATTCATTGTGGAGGCATGTGTGTCATCTCTTTGTTCGCTGTTCTATCTTCTCTGTTCGTTGAACCATTTTTCTTCGCCCTTCTCTGTGCTGATGGTGGCCATGGGAAGCTAGGGAGTTAGTGCATTAAGGAGTTTTGAGTTGCTGCTATTGGAGGTTTTTATCAGCCTTTTCTCTTTCTTTCTTCATTGCTGCAATAACCAGAATTCTTCCCTCCTCTGTTTAGCGCAAGTTTGGATTCTCCTTCCTTTCTCTGTCTTTAGTTGGCACTATGAGGTATAGAAGCTTCAAATCATTTTCTTTCTTCTTGTTCCGTGTATGTGTGTGTATGTGTTATGATGGAGATGGTGATTCTTCTTCTTGTCTGCTACTATAAATGTGGAGTAGGGATGATAATTTAAGTTGAAATTCTTAGTATTAAGGAAAAGATAATAATTGATAAGTATGAGTTTATGGGAGAAGATTTGTTGAGGTCTATATGTGGCTTGTGGCTTGGATAGAGAACTAAGGAAGGCATTATATTAATTTTTTCTCTCTTGTACTTAAAGTGTTTGATAGAGTGTTTGAGTGAAAATTTTTATATAAATGAGTGCTTAAATATGACCAAGTTAATCCTAGTTAAATTTTAACGTTTAGGTCGCTTGGTTTTTCGTTAATATATGAACTTGTTAATATGTATTTTGTGAGTATGTTTATGTGGCTGGGATTGTAAATTTTTCTTTGTTATTTGTTCTGATCTTGTGTATACTTGAATTACAAGAGGATTTGAATACAATAAAGGTTGTTTGGCTTGAGTTTTTCCCCCTTGAAATTAAGTTGATTCTTATTGTAGAGTTTAATTGACAAAATAAGTTAATTATTTTCTATGATGAAGCTTGGGAAAATCACGGAGTTGGCTTAATGGTGTATAGGTTAGAATTTGAACACGTTAGGTGAAATTTTGAAATTTTTAGATTAGTTTGGGTCTTGAGGCACAAGGGAACGAGGAAGAAATTTGTTATACTTGATGACGTTTATGATATTGAATTAAAGGGGTCATAAGATCAGCTGTGATTGTGTAAGGTAAGAAATTATACTGTTTTGAATAAAGCGTATTTTGTGAAAAATTATTGAAAAGCCTTGAGGATAAATCATTTATTGGTTATTAAGGGAACGAGGCATGGTCAAGATGAATACATCATTATAGGTGGGAGAAATTAACAAAAAGAATATAAATTTTAAATATAGATGGTGGGTTAAAGACAAAGAAGGATTGAGGATTTTAAATATGTTTTAGATCGTATATTGGGTTCATGACTATCAGTTGAAAATATATAAATTGGAGTTTTTATTAAAGAAAGTTGTTTGTTCTTCTTGTCTAGGTAATAACATGGCTAAAGGGAAATGGAGAGGTATTTAGAAGGAACATATTATTATTTTGGGAGTTATCAGATAAGTGAATAGCGTACCAATGACTCTATGAAAATTCATTTTCATGAAATATTGATTTTCCATATTCATGTGTCATCTCTTTTATCAATATATTTTTCTCTCACTAGAACAAATGATAAACTGCTTTAATTAATTTATTTATTTATCTATTTTTGTTCATAATTTTAATTTTATTACCAATTGTCATACATGAAAATATTTTTTTATTATGTTATATTTTATAGAAACAGTTGGATTTATCTTTCAATTGAACATCTAAAAGTATCCACTATATTGGAAACGTTGATTTTATGTTTAAA